CTTCCTGTGCATCGATTTCCATCAACGAAGACTTGTTTGGATACTACTTTACGTCCCAAAAACGCTCCGACAAACCGTTTATGAAACCGTCAACTCGTCGTGGAGGTACGTCTATTTGTACTTTCATGTTTTTGCACTTCTGCTAAACTCTGCCCAAGACCTTCCTGTGCCTCGATTTCCCTGAATGTAGGCTTGTTTGGATAGTGCTTCACGTCCCGAAAATGCTCCAAGAAACCGTTTGCGAATCTGTCAACCCCTTGTGGAGGTACTTCTATTTGTACTTTCATGTTTTTTTGACTTATAATAAACTATGACCAGGACCTTCTTGTGGCTCAATTCCCTTCAGTGTAAACTCGTTTCGATACTACTACACATCCCAAAAATACTCCAACAAGCCATCTACGAATCCGTCATCCCTTCATGGAGGTATGTCTGTTTGTATTTTCATGTTTTTGCACTTATGGTGAACTCTGCCCATGACCTTCCTATGGCTCAATTTCTTTCAATGTGGACTCATTTGGACACTACTTCACATCTCAAAAATGCTCCAACAAACCACTTATGAATCTGTTGACCCTTTGTGGAGGTACATCTGTTTGTAATTTCGTGTTTTTTGAACTTATGCTAAACTCTGCCCAAGACCTTCCTGTGGCTCAATTCCCTTCAGTGTAGACTCATTTTGATACTACTACATGTGTGCAAGTAGTAGAGTAGCAGTGAGTACCCTTCACACCTTTAACACCAGTCTGTTCGATGGCAGCACCCCCTACATATTCCCCTTTGTTATTTTTAGTTGGTACATGCATTCCTGGTCATATCCTCAGGTTTGCCCAGTATTATGCCTTGGACAATATACACCTCTTTTACTACTTCAGGATTGAGGAGACGTTTTCTGAATTGTTGTTTAACAATTTATTGTATTACATTGTATTAATCTGCCTACCCTGCAAAGCACCATGAATTGATTACATTGTATTCTGCCTTCTGTAAACCAGTCACTCAATCCTTAGGATAGTTCAATGTGCAGGCGTATATGACAGTGCTGTCCATGAGGCGAAGAAGCCCTGTGATAAAATGTTAAAAACAACAGTGTTGATCCACTTGCATTTGCTTACCATGTTGAGCCATTGTGGTGTCTTCCCATGCAGCTTTGTATTTTAATGCTGCAGGATCATGTCTACCATGTACATGAGGATGCATTTGATGTTAATGGTGTTATGCACCAGGGGATGGGTGGCAACTTTGTATAGGTAGTGGAAGCATTCATTCCAGTGTTC